TTGCCGCCTGATTGTGAAAACGAGACGTTAAGATCTATTTCCAAAGAACACAGCTTTGTTTATTTAAATAATGTAATGCAACGCTGAAACTCCCTAGCAAAAGGAATTTATCAATACTGGCCATTGTAGTATAACATACCCGGGTTCGTTCAGTAAGATTGAACGGTGAGAATTTTTATTAACTTTTAAACAACAAATCTTCTGAAAAACGAAATGAAAAACCAATAGGACCAACATTGTGGAAACTTACTCAATTTTACTTACTGGACATGCACCCGACATAGAAAATATTGGGGAAATTTAAGGGAGGTTGTGATATGGAAAAGAAGCGAAAAATTGGTGAAACTTCTACTTTATTATTAAAGTAAATCGTACCGTTCTCGACCTGGAATTCTCGAGGGAAAGAGAACGGCAGAGAAACCCTCGATCTAAAATTCCTCAAAAATCGAAACACACTGTTTCATTTTAATAATAATTGTAAGTCATTAATTCAATAATCAATAAAAGTTTAAATTAGGTACCGCCCCTGTTCTCGTGCTAAAATTTCAATTACGGGAAGCTACTCAGCTGAAGTTATTTTTATGGCAATATCTCCGGATCGATTTCTTCAATTTGTTTGCTAGGATGTTCGCTCGTCAGGGTAGGAAGACCCTAAGGCCCGCTCTAAATCCAAAAACTAAAATCCCAGAATAAAAAGACAGCACATAATTTTTCAAGCATGAAACGATTTGAACAATGCATGTTATAAAAAAATTTATTTTCTACTTAACTATTATAGATCCATAATACCTAGGAAATGAAATACGTTAACATACCTATAACAACCTGATCCATAACGCCCGCTTTTGCGTGCGTTATGATCTATAACGCCCGCTTATAATACCCTGAAGGGTTTTTCTTGTTGTGGTTTTATTAATTTGCACTTTATCCTAGACAGCCATTAAATGTCTGACCGAAAATAATTTTCGGTCTAGCCAGGATTCGAACCCGCAGCCTTATTCTGTAACTTGCGACCGCAGATAATTGCGCAATAGTCGCTGTCAAGTCGCTGTCAAACGCGAGTTTTCCATTCAAAAAAAGCAACTTGCAACCGGTTGCTGGTTGCTATGTAATTGCTGTTTTTAGAGAATAGGCCTGCCGGTCTACCATCAACGTTTCCCATGTAGTCTAGCGCGTTAAACCACACAACCACCACCGTTGCCTTGCCTTATGAGATATTTATAGATATATTAATTTATTTCGTTTCTAGGCACAGGTCACAGGCACAGGTCACAGGTACAGGTACAGGTCACAGGTACAGGTCACAGGTACAGGTACATGTCAAAAATACAAAATAATATTCTGTGCAATATTCAGGCCTATGATGTATCCACAGAACATATCACCTCTAGAAAAGTATCTGCAATGGTATGTACCGGTTATGAATTACGGCGCCCTCGTTGACTGAAAACCCAACTAATCGAGTATTCTTGACAAAAAGGCGAATTGATTTTTTTCATATATTTTTATTATTTTTGTATAATTTTTAATGTTCAACTGCATTTGGCTTGCTGACTCCTCTTAGCTCTTTTCGCCTCATTTTTTTAAAAACTATGACTGGCAGGAAGTTTCCGATGTCGAACATAGTGCAAAAAGAGTTAGTAAGTTAGCAAGAGACACGCAGTTATAGGTAGATCGCAAAGTAAATACGAATAATAAATATAAATACGAACGAAACGAAACAAACGAATAAATACAAAAAAATACGAACAAAAATTAGGTTTTTTTTCAACCAAAACTTTTTGAATTTTCACTTTAACGCGCGTGGAAACCATTCTGTGCCGTGGGGAACAACAACACAATTTAAAAATTCAAATTTTGACTTTTAAAATGACAAAATAAATGACAAAACCAACCAACACAAATCACTGTCCACACCACAGATACCTGTAAATTTCTCTTATCTCCCGACAGTGTCGCCATCGTTGAATGAAAACCTAACTAAAAACCTTTGTCGCGATTCTTCCATTTGAGATATTTTTCTATAGGTGATATGTTCTGTGGATGTATCCTCTCCTGTTATTTTAACAGTTGTGTTATAGCTCGAAATCTATACCTGTCTCTATTTTTACGTGTAGAATAAACAGTGACAGATAACTTAACGTTGCTGTTAAAATAACAGAGAATGATACATCATAGGCCTGATTCTGTCACACAAGTTCAATTGATTTTGTTAATAATAAATTGATGAAAGAACATTGTGTGTTTTTTTTTTTTTTTTTTTTTACGGATATGCGCACTCGCAAGGAAATGTCCTATCACGCTCGAGAAGCGGCAAGTGCGCGGAAATGTCGGTGTATGTTGGTCTTGAAACGGTTCAGGTTGTAACCTGCAGGGAAAACCGTCGCAGGGAGTTTATTCCACAGCGATGCTGTTCTCCAGAGTTATGAATTCTGATATAATGAGGTTCTTGGTGCCTCTAGTTTGACAGTAAATTCATAGTTACCGTCTGTTTGACGGGTTCGCCTGATAGGTGCTACTCTCGGTGGAATCATACGTGCCAACTCTACAGAGCATTTTCCGTGATAGTACCTGTAGAAGAGAGATAAATCGCCCACAGATCTGCGATGTTCGAGACCATCCAAGTTACGAGTAAGTGCGGGGTCATTGATCAGCTTGATAGCTCGTTTTTGCACGGTATTCAAAAGCATTAAGGTATGTTTGGGTGCTGCACTCCATATATGTGAGCAGTACTCCATAGTTGGTCGAATCTGGGCTTTGTAGAGTATCAGCAATTGGCTTGGTGTGTACAGATGTCTTGTACGAAATAGCACCCCCAGCTTTTGGGAGGCCCTTTTAGCAATATCTGCCACGTGACTGTGCCAAGACATGTTGGTCTCTGCAGTAACCCCCAAGATGTTCAACTGACTCTGTAATGTGACAGCACTTCCAGATAGCATGATGTTTGGCTCACCGGTGCTGGTCTTTTTTGAAAACAGAGCTGCTTGGGTTTTCTGCGAGTTGAACTGTACAAGGTTTTTGTTACCCCAGTCCTCTATTATCTCCAGGTCGTTATTTATCTGCGATATTTGAGTTAGTCTAAGATGATGGAATTCACGTGCGGAAAGACCTGTGGGTGGTATGAGTGAGGAGACTACATTGCCATCGTCTGCAAAGCAATAAAGTGGATTTACTGTTTTATCTATGAGGTCATTTATGTAAATCAGGAAAAGAGTTGGCGAGAGGATTGCTCCCTGTGGCACACCAGCATTTATTTGGTAAGAGTTGGAGTTCTGGCCATCCAGTGCAACATAAATGGATCTGTGCTTTAGGTAACTTTCAAACCAAGTGCAAAGTTTCGGCGATAATCCCATTGCTTTGAGCTTGTTGAGCAGATTTTCATGCCAAACTTTGTCGAATGCTTTAGATATATCTAAGGCAATTGTTCTTGTTTCACCCCGCAACTCAATCGCTTTTTGCCATAAGTGAGTGACGTATGTAAGTAAATCGCCAGTTGACCTATATTTTCGAAATCCGTATTGCTTATCGTTGATAATTTTGTACTTTTCCAAGTACTTGGTTAGGTGATTGTTCACAACTCTTTCCATTACTTTTGATATCACCGGAAGTAGAGCAATTGGTCTATAGTTTAACGGATCTGTCTTTTTTCCTTTCTTTGGAATGGGTTGTACTGCGGCAGACTTCCATGATGATGGATATACTCCTTGCCTGTAAGACAAATTGAATAATTTTGCGAAAGTTGGGGTGAGTTCGTTGGCGCAATTTTTGAATACTATTGCGGGAATGCCATCGTGTTGAGTAGAAAATAAAGCATTGTATGCACCACGGGGATTTTAAGATTATAATACCCTTCAGGCGAAATATATCCCTCGGGCCAGAGGCCCTCGGGCTACTTTCGCCTTCGGGCATTATAATCTACATAATCCCATTGGTACATAAATAGCTATAATAAACAAACAAAAAAACATAAAAATGAAAAAATGACACACAAACTAATCACAAATTGAATTGAACAATCAGTCTAATACAAAATAGAAATAAAAATTGAATATTGAACAATGGCGGACAAACGTCTTAAGGGACCAGCGCAGAGCCCCACTTCTTCTCTAGTCTAGTCGCTTATTTTCTTGTCTTCCATTCGGTAACTTTTTCCGTGGCGCGCCGCCGTTCTCATCAATTTCACAGAGCATTACATGGTTTCAACATTAACTTTTATTCAGTAAACGTTTTTTTTTTTTTTTTTTAAGTTAAGATTTGAATAAATGATATTTTAAATATGTGGTTTTCCTCACCATGTCGGTCCCAGTGCCTGGCAGGAATTGTTTTATCCCTGCTTCTCATGGCTCGCCTGCCGTAAAATTTTCTTCACGTCATGAAGATGTCAGAAATTAGTGTTCATCGGGAGATAATAAAACTAAGATTCAAATTTTCAAAGTTTAAGTAATTCATCATTTGAACTACAGCGCAGCAGTAGCTTAGACATGCAATCAAATCTTAGTCATAGTCCACAAAGTTAATATTAGAAAATGTTGAATACTGATCAAGACTATTATTATTCATTATGAAAAGCCAAATGTAACTTCAGATATTAATACCAATAAGGAACTAAGGAAGTATACTGAATAATGGAAACAATCCTAACCCTCGTCCAAAAAGAGATTTAAGATGTCAGCTAGGGATAGAAATGAAAATGATTTCATAAGGTTTAAATAATAGGTTTTGAGGTCGTAGTGTATTAATTTTTAATTGGTCATAATACTGGAAAATCAATCTTTATGTTTTGAAATGTATATCGTTAGCTTTTCCGTGGCGGCAAAGTCGTTTATTTACTGCCATCAGACATCACTACTGCCGTCAGACATCACACTGTTGTTATCTCATACTTTCTGCCTACTTTAGGCTTGGCGCACAGCCCTAACGACTCAAAAAAGATTCCACACCCATTGCCACATAAGCTTTATATTCTAAGCAACTAGAAGTTGAAACTAAATGCGAAAAAAAAAACACCGTTTGAAAATAAAAAATTTAATATTTTCTTCTTAGATTCCAGTTACATTTTTAATAAATTCACGGATAGATGGTGTAGTCAAACGACTGTAAGCTCCTGGACTGGTGCCGCACTCTGGAATACTCCAAGAAGTCACACCATATTGGACTCCATCAACAACAAAAGGCCCTCCAGCATCACCCTAAATAAACAATGTAATCGATGAATAAGTTTGGTTCAATAAAAATGAATGAATCGATTCTTACTCTGCATTGTCCGCTGTAGTTATCATTACTGCACACATTCTGAGTGCTGTCCCAGATATCCTCATAAGCGCGTTTGTTGATTATCTGGCTGCATTCTTCATCGGTTAATAATTGCAAATTGATTTTTTGTAAGGATGGCATAGGTTTTACGCCCCATTTGTCGTTTACACCCCATCCAGATAGAGTACCATTTTTGTGGAAAGGTACCTGAGCATTGGCATCAGCCAATTTGATTGGTTGGGCATTGGCATCGAATGGAATTGGTTTTTCGAGCTAAAATTTGTTTTTTTGTTAATATAATTTGTTCCGAATGGCTCCCAAAATAGCCCGCCCTGAATAGTTATTTTCTTAACAAGTGCACTGAGCAGTTAGACGATACGAAGAGGAGAACGGATGAGCTTTAAAAGGGCGAAAAAGAGACTTTGCGCACGTGCTAGAAACAATATTTTTTCTACGAACGTCCACATCTTGGATGTTTTTATTTTAACGAGAAATAGAAATAAATATTAAAAAGGATTTCACTCTGAAGTGACACTCGCAGGAAAGGTTGTAGGTGCGTGGTGTGGTGCATGTTTTGTACCGAATTTGATTGGTACGGAAGAAAAATAAATTCGAAAATCGTGATAAAGACTAGAAGAAAATATCATCAAATATTTTGAGTTAGTTTGGGTTAGTTTTAGATACCAAAGTATTCAAGTATTGTCTTCCAAATTGAATATTTAACTTAAACGACTATCTCACTCCAGAAGCTTCAAAATCCGCTTCGCGTTGCTCTACGTTTATCAAGCTTACAATTTTCCGCACTGAACTATATTCAAGTATACTCACCTATCTTAAGAAGCTATACATATATTAGCAAAATTAGAAATAAAAGATATATATACCTCAATAATAGCAACATCATATAGTGGAACTTTTCCTATGATAACCTTCTTATAGCTATAAAGTGGATGTTGATAGGTCCTTGTGACATTAATTGTGGTACTGATATTTTTATGTGCAGCCAATTCGTTAGTTCCGTATACGACTCTTATACTGAAATATTAAATAAAACATTAATCTTGTCTTAAAATAATTTACAAAAGATTGTAAAATATCCTTTTCCTACGAGCGTGCGCAAAGTAGTACTTTTCCGCACGTATTTCCGGGCTCAAAGTTACACTTTTCCGCACTCAGTGCGGATACAGGCCTTATCCGCACTGAGTGCCGAAAAGTAATTATAATTGTCAAACAACAATAAGTGCACCTGTCGACTTTGACACATGATGACAAATTTTTCCTCTGTTTCTATATCAGCCAACATCTATACAAACACCAAAAATAAATTAACTTTGACACATTGTCAGATTTGTTCTCTATTTATATGCAAAAATCTACACATTTTCTCATCAAATTTAAACGCTTTAAGATGAACAGCTCTGACGAGGATTTTCTGTTATTTTTTTTTTGTTATGTAATTCTTTGATAAATGCATAGGTTCCCTTCAAGTTAATTAAAAATAATTAAACAAATTATCGTTTTTTTTTTTTAATTTTTGTTATTACCTACCTGATATGAAGCTCGAAGGAAAAATTTTGTTCCTAACACGTGCGCAAAGTGTCTTTTCCGCACGCAAACACGTATCCGAACTCCGCTTCGCGTCGTTCGTATAACTGTGTTTGCGTGCGGAAAAGTAACACTTTGCGCACTTGTTAGGAAAATAACTATTTTTTTATTTTGTCGAAAATTGTTAGATATCAATAATTGAACATATTATTTTTATTATAAGATACCGGATAATCGGAGCATGTATTTGCGATGGATTATGTAGATCAAATCTTGATTATTTCGAAGATTTGAACTCTGAAAAATACGTAATATGCATAGACAAATAGTCTTTTTGCCACCATCACCATTACCAGAAGTTTGTCGAAAAGGAATGAAGTTCCCGGATTCACACTCCAGGATTGCACAAACATACATATTAATTAATTATAATTTCAAATGCAAATTATTGACAAAATAATAATAATATCTTGGTGTTTTCTGTTTTTGCTTGTACCTTCCCTATACATACGAAATAAGGAATTTGAATTAATTTGCCACCAAACTACTGACACCCGTGAGAAATGTGATGTGTTTCTCAGTTGTTGCGCAATGAATAGAGGTACTATAAGATTCTTCATTCTTACCCTTCTGCTGTACTACATTTAACGCTGGTCAAAATCCATTTATCGCCAATAATTGTTCCACCACAGTAGAGATAATTGAATAAGTCCATAATTTGAACCTACAACGAAAAAATAATAATAATAGGAAAAAGTATACTCAATAGTGGTATTATGTTCGAGTAATAAATAGTAAGTGCCCTTTTTCAATCTTTCGTGGGATAGAGCATTTGTGTTTTGTTTTATCTCACTTCACCAGAAATTCGAAGATATTACATAGATATATTTAGTTATTTGTATTCCAAGGCCGCGAAATGTCTTTTTAGTGTACGTAGGGTAAAGTTATTGCCGAGATCTTTCGGGAACGAGGCATGATGATTTCGAGGACGCTTGAAAATTTCGAGGCATTGGTATACACACTAATTTTTGTGTAACATGGGGATCTAATAACTAGTTCAATACACAGGTTGGTGGCAGTGGTAGGGCAGCGTTTTTATGGATTTAAAATATTAAGTTCGTTAGAGGTAAAAGGCTGAAAACTCAATTCGTAGTCGGTTGCACACAATAGTTATTCGTATGCCAATGCCGCGAAATGCCATTCTAGATTATCTCCTCCAGAGAAAGATAATTGCCAAGGCCCAAGCAAGGTATCCTCGAGGAAAATTGATTAAAAAAAAAAGTTGGTATCTTGTAATGTTAAATTAGACAGTTATTTTTTAGTTATTTATATTACTAGTACGGTATGGGGAATATTGCCAAGACGAGGTCGTAGACCGAGACATGGTAACCACACGAGTGCTGCAACAAGCGTTAGCATACGTGTAATACACAACATTTTATGTACGACCCAGATTTTTTTTATGTATTCGAAATAGTTTTAATTTTGCACAACATATTTATAATTTTTCCGAATAAATAAATTTTTAGGTGTCGTTTTTCAATAAAAATGAACTACGTAATGAGTTCATTACATCACTAGTACGATAATGCAACTCATTACGTAACTAACTCAAACAGGCTAAAATGAATGGCATAATAATCTCTTACAGAGTGGGTCATACATAAAAATAGTTAATTATAATTCAAATTATAGTGCAACTCTGAACTTTTCGTTCAGTCGATATTAATTTCGAGATTCTCATCGCAATTTTTTTTTTTATAATGGGAGACATATTCATTCTAGCTGGACAAGAAATAATAGTATCGATCATGCTTACCATGTATGGGAATTCTCCATCAGCTGCGGTTGTTCCGTTTATTACTCGGAGAGGAGAATGATTGGGATTACCAATCACAGAAGTAGTTGCTAGAATAAAACTGACAATAAGTGAAATGTTACATACCTACTAAAGAAAAAATCGAAAGAAAAAAAAAATAGGAAAAGAACTGAAAAATGAGAATTTTGAATAAATAAAAATAAATATTTGGTCTTACCTCCATTGAGAAGAGCAACAAATATTAGAGAAAAACCACCCAACGCTACTAAATTATTCATGTTTGCAGCGGAACAAGTACAAACCTATACTCATAAAACTAACACAATAATTTCCGAATTTATACAGTTTTTTTTTCAGGGTAAACTCTTGATAATGAAATTTCTAGTACCCAAATCAATAATAGCAGATCTTTAGTGCGATTTTAAGTAGCACTTGAACACGTTCCTCATTCTAATCTCATATCAACTTAATGAAAAGCAATTCATGAAAAATGCTTATCTATTAAGTATGTAAAACATACATATTAATTAATTATAAAAAATGTTGAAATATTGAAGCGGCGTTAGTATTGATGGGATTAGGTTCGAAAAAATGCGAAAGCAGACCTTGTCTTTCTTTTACCAACATTCAGATTTAATTTAAACCATGAACGAAGCACTCAGTACTAATTGAAACAATGGCAGCTATTATAGCAACAGTGCAGTTGATTGGATAAGTATCCAGCCAAATGCCTCAGCAGAATTCAAATGAAAGATCAAAACTGAACTGGATTAACTTGAAAAATCCGGTCAAAAATTCCTCAAAGGAAGAGGAACAAGCTCTCAAAAACCTACAAATCCTTCCAGCAAATAAAGGAAATGCTACGGTGATAAATATGAACATCGATACCTAGAAGAAACTTTTAGAAAAGGAAATTACCGCTCTGTAACTTGAGAAACAACATTCACAATCGAGATATCAACGTTGTGGATCTTTTTGGAAAACAGTTAGGGGTTGAAGAGCAACAACTATGATAGTGATGCTTCACCCAATTTAAAAAGTCATAGAAAACAAGATGACAAATGGAGGTAATTGAATTTTCATGTGTCAATACCAGCTTGGACTTTTGTGTAGAACCTCATGGTGCTGCTCCTGGGATCATGAAGAAAACCCGGAACCACTTCATATCCTGTCAAATTGGAGAAGACCATGAGTTCTCTGTGCTGTGTATTTTCTGTCTTTGTATTCTTAAACGTAGGTCAATTAATTCTTACGTGTAATTACCATTGGTGTCAGTAAGATTGAAATTTATTAATATAAAATAGGTCTAATTCAATATTATTATTGACAAAGACTTTACAACTCAGAAGACCAAATGTTTTATTCATAAATCCCAGACCGTGAGAGAATAGCAGTACAGCGAAATTAAACTGGATTTTTATTTATTTTTTTCCTATAGCAAATCCGGATGGCTGGCTGGTAATGGCAATTCATGTCTGACAGGTGTGAAAATATTGAAATTTTAGTTTAAATTTTTCATTCCGACTACCACGCGTGCCCAAATTATTATTCGAATATTTTTTTTCACACGAATTATCAATAGTAATATAACTAGTGCAATGGAAATTATTGATAATTTTTGGGAAATTTGCCCGAATGCATTTTTCAGTTAAAAACGCATGAGTGCAAATTTGTCGAAAATTATAAATATATTTCCATTGCACGAGTTGTATTTAATGAGAGAATTTCATAAATCAAAAATTTAAATTTTTTGTCAAAAAATGTCAAAACACCAGTTTTCGCACCAGTTAGTATGCAATTATCTGATAATTTGCACTAGTGCAAATTATCGCGTAATTACAATCTGATTGGTTCAAATCAACAATCAAAACATGTCAATTTATTGTTGGAATACCAGTTTTGACAGATGTATGAAATTCTCAAAAAAATATCACTCAACTTTGACGAGGGGATATTTTTCAAAATATTAGTGAGCTTGGAAAAATTTCCGGAAATAATTTGGGAACTCAGTGTAAATAATATCGTTCAATAAAAAGTCCTCGTTCATAGAAAAGTGTTCTTTTTGAAATATGAAAGTTTAATACAACGGAAATCACAACATAAACGTTAATATAGACAAAGATACAAAAGATAAAATAGAATAAATACGTATTAAAACTGAAAACGTTCGATAAAAGGAGAATATTTAAATTCGCGTCTAACTTTTACCGTTGACTATCAAAAACTTGACAAACTGACAAAACTTGCTTGACATGTCATAATTTTTACAGGTAAATTTTCCTTTTTGATTTATTCATTTACACCGCGATTTACGCATTATTTTTAACACCCTCCACGGCAGCAAAATCGTCTATTTCCAATGGATATAAACACTGCACTGGACGTTTAAGTTTGACACTGTCACTTGTCTTTATTTCGCACGCTCTCACTTTTCCATCGCGTCCTTGAAATAACTGTGTAACTCTCACAAGTTTCCATGTTAAACGTGGTCTGTCTTGGTCTTGCAAAAGTACTACGTCTCCTTCTTTTATTTCCTTAGGTTTTGGATTATCAATGTAATGGGCAGAGCGCAACTGTTGCAAATAATCAATTTGCCACTTCTTCCAAAACTGATTCATTGTTTCTTCTCTGGTTTTCCATATTTTCAAAATATCATTTTCCCTAATTTCCTTTGATTTTAAGTTCGGGCTAAATCCTAAATCGACTACTCCAATTAGGAATTTTCCGGGTGTTAATATAAAGAGATTTTCTGGGTCTTCATCAATATACGTTTACGGTCTTGAATTTACTGTCGCTTCTACTTCTGCTAATATTGTTCGTAACTCATCAAATCCAACCAATTTCTTTAATAAAGTGGATTTTAAAGCATCTTTCACTGTACGAACCAACCGCTCCCAAAAACCTCCCCACCATGAGCCTCTTTCCACGCTAAATTTCCAATGAATCCTATTCTTTCTTACTAAATTTTGTATTTCTTCCTGTTGTAAAATTTCCGTTAATTAGTCTAATTCCTGAGCTGTGCGTTTAAATGTTTTTGCGTTGTCCGAATAGATTATGTTATGTACCCCTCTCCTAGCGATAAAACGTCTGAGACCTAATACGCAACTTTTTGTTGACAGACTTTCCACTAATTCCAAATGTACCGCTCTTATTACAGCACAAGTGAATAACATGATGTACACTTTAACTTTTTGTTCATTCTTAATTATGTACAGTGGGCCAGCAAAATCTTTTCCGGTCACATTGAAGGGTTTCGCTGTCGTTATTCTATCTCTGGGTAATAGAGCAAATGGCTGCATTCCCGATTTCCCTTTAATTTCTTGCAAACAACACACCGTCTTATAATTGCTTTTATTCTTTGTCTCGCCTGAATTATCCAGTACTTTTTTCTTATTTCGGCTAGTGTAGAATTTATTCCACTATGTTTCATCTGTTCATGTGCGTTCCATGTTAATTTCTTTGCTAATTCTGACTTTTTGGGCAAGATAATAGGATGTCTCTCATTATAACTTAAACCGGATTCTTGTAACCTTCCTTTCAGTCTTAGTAAATAATTCTCATCTATAAATGGATTCAATTTTAGAATTTTGGATTTTTTAGAAATCTCTTTATTGTTTCTCAAACCTTTTATTTCTTCAAAATACGTTTCTTCTTGTGCTATTCGTACCCAATATGTCTCAGCTTTTTCCATTTCTTTAGCTCTTATATACCCTGAAATTTTTCTTTCCCTTTCCTTAATCTTTAGATTATTCACAAATCTGAAGACCAGAGCAGTAACTCTTAAAGTTTTTTCATAACTACTAAATTGATCCAAAGAAAATATTTCCTTCAGTGTAACTTTCTCTCTATTTTCAACATCAATTTCTGCTCTCGTCTCTGCTAAACAAGAAAATACTTTTGTTTCTTCATTTTTCAAGTCAAAATACTCGTCCATTGGTCAATTTTCTTTGTTTGCAGACAACCATGTAGGTCCATGAAGCCATCGTTCCAATTCTTTCACCAATTTTGAATCTTGGACTCCTCTTGTCAAAAGGTCTGCAGGGTTTTCTTTACCTGGGCAGTACTTCCATCCGATATAATTCATATTTCGTATTTCCTGTACTCGGTTTTGAGTAAATGGTTTCCACTTAAATTTATTGCCATTTATCCAATGCAAAGCTATTTTAGAGTCCGACCATATAAATATTTTGGTTATATTTAATTGGATATTCTCTATGATATATTTTTGCATTCTTGCACCACATAAAGTTGCGGTCAATTCTAGCTTTGGCAAAGTTAGCGTTTGATTCAATGGCGCAACTCGGTTTTCAGCCATTAAAAAATTGCAAGTGTTATTGTCTAAACGTTTCAAATACGCTATCGCTCCTTAAGCTTGCAAACTAGCGTCAGCGAATATATGCAATTCTACAGGCTCTTTTCGGTCAGGTAATATACATCGAGGTATAGCGAAATCATTTAAATTTGACACATCGTTTATCCATTGGTTCCATTCCATTTCAAATTCATTTGGTAACGGTTCATTGTAGGGATATAAACAACCAACTGGTCGGTAATCGTGAACCAAATTATTCCTAAAACCTTTTCTGGGTCATTGGATTTAGGGTTATTTGTATCGTTTTCTATGGGGTTAATGAACATTTTTGTTAAATTCACGTTATTGAACTCCACTTTCTCAGATTCATATTTGCCTCCGAAAGAATATTTTTAGAGCGTTGAAATACTTTTAAAGCAGCATCTTCGTTATGAACAGATTTGATAAAGTCGTCTATGTAAAAGGATTCTAATAAATATTTTCCAAATTCACAATCCGGTTGGTTTAATAGATGCTTTGTTAGGGTAACTGCTAACGAAAATGGGCTAGTAGTAACTCTAAACGTTACTCTACACATTCTAAAAGTATCAAATTTCGGCAATTGATCTACGAAAGATATGTCATTTTCGATAGGATTAAACCATCAAAATCTATAAAAATTTTGATCCTCGTTACATAGAGAGATCTGCAAAAAAGCTTTCTCGATATCGGCTACTAGTCCAACGCAACCAATTCGAAAATTTAACAAAATTTTTAGTAAGTCCGGAACTAAATTTTCGCCCGTTAGAAGTTTATCGTTTAACGAAGGCATGCCCTGCGCATGCGCACTTGCGTCGAATACTACCCGCACTTGAGAAGTTTCTTTATCTCGTCGGTAGACCGGTCTATGCGGTAAATAATAAGTTTTATTATGATTTACATCATTTTCGTTCACTAGTTCCAAACAGCCTAATCTTTCGTATTCGCGTATTGCTCGGTCGTATTCTAAGAGAGTCCCGTTTTTACATAATTTATTTACCAAATTTTTCACGCG